TGTTATCTCTGACCTATTGTGAGCTCAGATTTTGCAATATGCATGAAGTGAATTAACACTGTTATAAAAGGTGCCTGATTGATCAATAAAGTGGAGTCGATGCTGACCAATGCAAGGTGGATCATCTCCCCCTCCAACTTCAATAGAGTTCCAAATATCTGAGCTCTTGTGAGAGCTCTGTGTGGGCTTGTGAGAAATTCTGAATGAGCAGAACGGAGTCCTGCCCACCTCACATCCTCCAGCCTTCAGCTTGATTGAGCCTGGGTAGCTTTTACTCAGCACTTCACATTAATATTGCTTTTTAGAGTGCTGGCATGGATTCTGTGGCACATCAGGAGCCTTGTCTGGTTGTGGCACTCAGGGAAATGAGAGGCTGAACTTGCAGCAAGGAAAGTCTTTGGAGGAGCCTCCTGAATGTCTCCTCCTGAGTGAAACCCACTTTTCCTGCACCAGGGAGTGGTTGTAGTGTTTATCTGCTATTGGGATTTACACTTGTATTTAAAAATAATTTGTAGCAGAGGATGAATCCTTTAATATCCACAAAACAAGAGCTGGGGGAATGTGGGGCTGGGTTTTGATAGGCCAGAGCAAAGGCAGCTTCCTTTGGGATTCTGCCCCATAACCTGTACGTGGTGTGTTCTGCCTGGTGCTGAATCATTTTAGAATCATACAAATGTGACAACTTAATTATTTTCTGCCTCAGAGCACTGATTTCTCCCCACACCTCCCTGTTTTGTCTCTCCAGTGACAATAACCCAGCTTTGCACTGTACTTTGTCATTTGTAGATACCACACCTAAATCAGCCTGTGTCAAAACCAAAGAGGTTTCAATAACAGTGCCTGCATTTTTTAGGCTTATTTGGTTTGGTGACTGCTGAAGTGAAAATGTTTAATATTCTGGATATTCTGTGGGAAAATCTGGAGCCCTGAGTGTGTGGCTGTCTTAAGTACAAAGCTGGGAAAATGGAATATCAGCATTGCTCAAGCTATTGGGTTATGAAGAGCTACAACAGATGTTGCAACTGTTTCATTTTTGGTGTGTAATTCTTCACGTTTGGCTGCAGAACTGAGCCCTCTGCTGCTGTATGGCAGATGTAAATTTGAGTTATTGGAGTATTTATTTGGAGTTATTGGAGTATTTATTTGGAGTTATTGGAGTATTTATTTGACTTCTGTGAACATAGCCCTGACTCAAAACTGGGCAGGAACAAGTGAACCAGCAGAGAACAGGAGTGTTCAAGAACTCAGGGAGAAGTAGCTACTTGATAAGTGCTGGTTCAATTAATATAATTTCAATATTTGTATTTTCTCTTAAGGAAGTGAGGTTTGATACTCTCAGCTGTGCTTTAGTTGAGATTTTGATTGCATAAGTTTAGAATTTTATGGCTGGTTGAGACCTCAAGTTTCTCCCTTGAAGATGTGAATTTCTTGTGTTTCTTCTTATCCACAAGCAAAATTTACAACTTGAAAGCCTGTAAAAGTGAAATATTTATCTAAAAAACTTCTCCAGAAGGGAAGGGTCTTATTAATACTGAATGAGAGAGTCTTATTAATACTGAATTGAGATACTGAGCTGCAGGTGTCTGAAGTTCTGGGTTTTCTTTTATTCTGAGGAGTATTTTATGTACACAGTCCATTTTGGAGCAACCAAAAGTTGAGTTGTCAGAATGAACAAACAGTTTCTTTAAAGAAATGCAAATAAAATCCCTGTCTGCAGTTTGTCAAAAAAATATTTCAGCACATCATGCTGTGACCACTGGCTGCCCTTGGTTCTACATTTCAAATACAATTTCTACAATTTCAAATACAATTTTTACAATTTCAAATACAATTTCTCAGCAGAAGCCTCTTGTCCTTTTTTCCAGTATTTGCAAGCGCTGCATCCGAAAGATGGATCACCACTGCCCCTGGGTGAACAATTGTGTGGGGGAGAAAAATCAGAGATTTTTTGTTCTGTTTACGGTAAGTGAGCAGCAGCAGCTTGATTTTAGTCTGAATTTTCCTTGGTTATAACAATTTAGGTTGTGCTTGGTGAGTAATGGCTTTAGGACATGTTTGTGTTGTTAAATTGGGTGGGTTTGTTCCTTCTGTGCAAGGGATTTCTACCCACATTCATTTTAATTTTGTGTTGTTGTTTCAAAGGTTTTTCTTCGAATTTTGCTTTGTTTTATGCAGTGGCAGTGAGTGAAATGATGCTGTCTCTTGTTTGCAGATGTACATAGCCCTGATTTCAGCTCATGCTCTTGTACTCTGTGGATTTCAGTTCTTCTCCTGTGTCCGAGGGCAGTGGACTGGTGAGCAAATAAATACTTAATTTTTGTTATCATAGTCAGCAGATATTAGGGAAAAGTCATAGCATTTCTATTTTAGCCCCATCTTTCAGTAAAACATTTCAGATCTGTTTATCCATCACTCTCCTTTTCCTTTCTGGGTTTTTCCTCCCTTTCCTTCAGTCATTCTGTGTAAGAGCTGGGGCTGTCAGGGGCGTTCTCACTGCCTTTACTCACAGTAGTAATTCACTGCCTCTGTAGTGGGAAGGAAACTGAGCTGGTCCTCAACCACCTCAGCACAAAATCACCTAAATCTGGGCTCTGTGTGCCCCACCTCAGTTCTGGGAATGGCACCTGAAATTTAAACAGATTTCTCCCTCATTGCATTACTGGAGCTCCTGCAGAAAGGAAATTCCCTAAACTATCCCAGTTTTTTTTTGTTTTTTTTTTTTTTTATTTAGGCCTCTGGCTAGTATTTCTTACTGTTCCAGTGTGCCAGAGCTCATTCTGCTCTTGTGCCTTTGGTATATGAAGTAACAGGGAAACCCCTGTGATTTTTATTTTTTTCTGAGTATTTCATGAAATGAATGGAATCTTAGAACTTTGTTTTACTTGAAACATTCACCTTCTGTACACTATCCCTGTTTAAATATAATTGAGTTAATCAGAGAGGCTCTCCAGAGATGTGTGAGGCAGAACTTGATTACTTTGTGTGGAGAATTAAAATAAAAAGAGTAATAAAGCAATGACAGCCAGGTGGAACATCTGTATTAGAGTCAGGGCTGAGGTGGGGGTGGTTTTACAGCCTCTGCCATGCAGGAAGCTCCAAGCTGCTCTCTTATTTTCAGTTCTGAGTTCTTCAGTCCCCTCACATGCAAACATTTATTTGATAGCCTTGAAATCCTGAGGCAGGATTGCAGAAATAGTTACCATGTGCTTTATAGGAAGCCAGAAGTGTTACTATCATAAAATTCTGTATTTTCTTGATCAGCAAATAAAGCTGCTGCAAAATCAGAAGTTTGTTTTAAATGTGAAATATTATTTCAAGTGTCAGACATGTAGGACACTTACAGGACAGCTGTATAATTTACTGTTAGTTTTTTTTTTGTAACCACAATATTTCATTTTCACAGAGTGCAGTGACTTCTCCCCACCTGTAACTGTGATCCTGATGATCTTCTTGTGCCTTGAGGGTTTTCTGTTTCTCACTTTCACTGCAGTCATGTTTGGCACCCAAATCCACTCAATATGCAATGATGAAACGGTAAAACCCTTGACTTTTTTGTATTCTGTAACATTTATTCTGGGAAGATGTGATTAGATGTGGTTTTATTTGCATGAGGAGAGGCTCTTATTACAGAGAAAGCTGCAAACTTCAATAATTCATCATTTTTATTTTCTACAGTTGGGGGAAGATTGGAATGGGTTCCTGGGGGTTGCTTTCTAACAGAAGTTCTTGCACTATTTGCTTTTTTGACATTTTATAATTTAGTTTAAAAATGACAAAGAATGCAAAGCTTCTGAGTTGAGGTTTGACTTTCCCTTCTGAGCTGGTAGAAATTCCTGCTGGGTGCCATGGGAAGTGTCTGCTTTTCTCAGGTTTACTCTGAAAATCACCCTCACCTCTTTGTGATACATTTGATCAGAGGATAAAACAGAGTTTGGGCCATTGGCTCCCTTGTCCTTAGATCTGCAGTGTCACACATGGAGAGAATAATTGCTTGGAAACACAAGGAAATTAAATCCTGTGACTGTTCAATATTTTCTCATGTTTACAAGTGTATTTCTGTACTGAGGAGTAAGGGCAAAACAACTGGTAAATATTGAGCCTTCATTAGTGGGAAGCACAAAAAATGACCATCAAAATAATGCATTGGGAGAGTAATCCTGCCTGCAGTAATTGTGGAGCAGGAGCCTCATTGTCTGCTTTCATCAACTGAGTAAACAGCTTGTAGTGAAGGATATTGCACGTGGATCCATCAGCTTTCCTGGGAATTTTGGGGAAAAGAGCTGGAGATATCAACCTTCTTGTGCATATTTAATGTTCTAAATCTTCTGCCCTGTATCCACAGGGCTAAAACACTTTCTAACTTCTCCCTTAATAATTAATAAATTACAGTAAGAAACTAATCAGCTGAGGCACAATGAAACAGCACAATAAAAATGCAAGCCCGGTTTTTACGACCAGGTTTTATATTGGATTAAACTAAACCTTGGACATGCCTGCCTGTGTTTATTTGCAGGAGATTGAGAGACTGAAGAGTGAAAAGCCAACATGGGAGCGCAGGCTGCGCTGGGAAGGGATGAAATCTGTGTTTGGGGGCCAGCCCTCCCTGCTGTGGATCAACCCCTTCGCAGGATTCCGCATCAGGAGGCTTCTGCTGCGAGGGAAGAAAGGAGGACCTGAGTTTTCTGTTTGAGTCTAAAGATGCTGGAACTTGCAAGAATCCTATATAGTATTTATTTTGGGGCCAGAGAAGGCTGTCTGCATATAATCTGTGACCAGGTGAAACTGATATCAGACATTTGCTTGTAGCAAGCAGAGTTTTCTACGTTTATCGTCACAGACATCTCATTAATTCTGAGACAGGAACTGGATCTGCCATGATCTTCACAGCAGGATAAGCACGTGGTCACACTAAAGAAGCCAAATGTTGTCATGCTACTGTAATTTATTTTCTGAGATTACTTCCCTATTTTTTTGTTTTAAACCCTTTTTATTTGATAAATGTCTGGGGAATTAATTACCTGTGTGTTTTTATAATGAGTCTAAGTCCTTGGATGCAGTTGTCAATCATTAGGAGGAGCCTTGTGGTGGAAGTTGATCTCCAGTGAGACACAGCCTTCCTTGTCAGTGCAGATTTCAGGGAATTGTGCTTTGTTCTGTTCTCCTTTCTCTTTCAGCAGAGCTGTCCCTGTGTGTCCCACACACGTGCAGGTGGTGCCCAGCACTGTCACACCCTGCCCAGGCTCCCTAAAGCATGGCCTGTGTTTGGCAGTGCCCATCCCATCTGGCATTTAGGGAAAGGCTCAATTTTCACTGCCTGGGCTTCAATTCCTGCTCTGGGATGTGCATTTCCAGTTCCACCTGCTTTGATTGCAGAGGAGCTCAGGTGTGCACTGTGCAGGGATGAGTGGCACCAGTGTCCTGCAGTGTGAGGTGACACTGAGTGACAAACTGGGGGTCATTCACTGCAAACACTTTGTCCTTGTAGGGTCTTGCTCTGCCCCTTTTTTACTGTACAGACCCTTCATAGAGGGAAAGCTGTTCATGATCCCTTGGACAAAGACAGCAGAGAAAGAGGCAACTTCCCTCCTTTCTCAAGTACAGCACATCTTAAATGTAGAAACATCTGCAATATTCTTTTGAATTTAACCATTTCCAACCAAAACTACTTTGAAGAAACGAGAGCAATATAGATCTAGAACTGCTTTATGTGGGCCTGACAAACAACAGTAGTGCTAAAAAATGTTCATAAATCTGCAAGTAATGAAATGCAAGCTGCAAGTAATAAAAATCCAGCTAAAAGTTGATTCTTTAAAAATGACATTTAGACTATTTTTTGTATTATTGTTAACCTATAAATGACTGACCATGTAAAGGATAAAGCAGGAGCCTTGATGCATAGCTTGAAATCGTGCCTAGAAAGTAAATAGCTCCCTGTTTTGGGACTTGCCTTAAAATTGTCCTGTTCTTGCTTTTGCTCAGCCAGTGGCACTGGTGACCTGTCCCACCTGCAGCAGCTCAGAGCTCTGCATTCCACCCTTTGTGCCCTGCAGGAGCTGTTTCCTTTCTCAGTGCCCTGCTGCTCCATCTCCTCTGCATCCTGCTCCCAGCTCCATCCGTTTCTGTTCCATGGCGTGGCTGAAGGCACTGAGGGATCCATTTCTTGCCTGTGCCCTGTGAACAAAACCGTGCAATCCTCTGGGGTGTTTTCACTTTGCTTTCTGGGGAGGGTGGTGGTGTGGAATGCTGGAGCCTTCCTGGGTGGAAATCCACTGGAATTGCAGTCCTGTGAACAAAACTGAGGGGGAAGCTGGAAATTCCACAGGATTCTGTGCAGATTCAGTTGCACATCTTAAAGATTGGGGAGGAAAAAAAGGTGTCTGGCTTTGTCCTGAGGCTCTTACTGTGTAAATTGTTCAATGGGAAAATCAGAAAATAGCAAAATAGCACTCCAGGTGGTTGGACCCTGTGACTTGGCAAATGTGTGCGTGTGAAATCCGGTTTACTCGGCTTTTCAAATCCTTACCTTGTAATTTTTTTTTTTTTATGTAAAAAAGAATAAACTAATGAATTGAAGTCTTAGTTGATTAACTTCTCTACATGTCAGGTTTTTTTTTTTTTCACATATATTTGGATTGAAGCAGCTTCAGGGAAATAGTCTTGAATCCTTTGGTAATTAATTTGTATTTATATTAATTAACTGCTCCAAATTAAAGAGGTTCCTCTGCTTATTAAGAATTTTAAGCTACACTTTTTTAGCTCTTCTTGATCATTCCCTTTTCTTCATCCTCTGGTGTAGTTGCTTATTTAATTATAGAACCATGGAAAGATTTACATGGGAAGGGACCTTAAAGCTCATCTTGTTCCCAGCCAGTTTCTCTGAGGTGAGTGGGAAAACACTTCCAGTCTGAAAACTCACCTCAGTATTCCAGCCTTTGCACTTCCAGGGAATTTGGGATAAATGCTGGTTTGAGTCTCCAAATTTTCTGTGCAAATGTTGGATTTTCCTCTGTTTTTGCAGCTTCTGGAGCAAAGAGAGTTCTGAGCCTGGAGAGCAGCAGGGTGGGAGCGTCCACCCAAACAAGGGGGAGGAGGAACAAATGGCAGCAGAGGATGGGGAGACTCAAAGCTGTTCACTTCCCCTTTGCAATCATTCCAAAAAATACTGAGATATTTTCTGGGTCTGTATCACACTCTAATGTTTCTATGGAGAAAAGAGCTCCAAATCCATGAACACAGACTTTGTGCCAGTGCTGCTGCTATTTTGGAGCAGGTTAATGATTTGGTTGTGTTTATGTATTTTAAGGAAGAGTTTGTTTATTCTCTGAAGGGAACAGACATCCCAGCAGATGGATCCTGCCAATTTATCTCCTTTTTATTTTCTTGTTTAATTTCTAGTAGTAATGTCAGTATTGTTCCAGACATCCTTTCTGAAGTCTTGGCCTTAGCAAGAATTCATTTATGGATTTCTTTATGCCTGTCCTTGCAGAAATGATGAATTTCTATAATTGTTCTGCTTCTCTCTGTTGGCTTCAGGCCCAAGAGAAAGAGAGAAAATGGCTTAAGGGGTTTTGAAATACAGAAATTGGGCTGTAAAATGATTCTGGAATCTGTTAATAACACTAAAATGAAGTGCACCAGCATTGGTTCTGTATATTCATTATTTTTAATATGTTAAAGTATATTAATAATATATTAAGTAATTAATATAGTTATAGTTATATATATAGTTATATATATACTATATATATATAGTTTAATATATAGTTATATATTAAAAAGTTAATATATTAAGTAATTATTATTAATTATAATAATTATAATTATAATATATTAATTAATTAATTATATTGGTTTTGTATATTTTTTTTCTTCTGAACAGGGTTACAGGTCAATATTAATTTTAATGTGCTGGTGCTTCTTCATTGATGAGATTGTTAATTTTTTTTATTCTCCTTCCTTCACTTAGTCACAGTTTTTTATGTTCTGAATATATTTTAAATTCTTTTTCCTGCCTGTGTTCCAGTAGCACATCTGCTCCTGTCCTGCACTTCACTCTTGTCATCCCCAACCAGAGCCCTGGAAATTATCCAGCAGGCATCAAAGCAAGCACAGGCTGCTTTTTAATAACAGAAACAAAACTCTGCATCTCCAAAATATTTCTGCAATTTCTCCTTATATTATAGTGCAGCATAAAGTTAATATTGGACGCAAATTCAGTGTTAAAGATGCCAAATATTAGATTTGGCTAGGAAAGGGATAACTCAGAAATATTTCAATATTTTCTTGCCTGAGGTGCCCCATTCTGGTAAGTAGCTGGCACCTGACAAGGGAAATATTACTAAATTATGGCTTTGAACCTCTTTTGTTAACAAACCATGGTTGCAATAAAATAGTCACTTGCAAGGTGTGTTTGCATAAAAATACTGGTTTAATTAAGTGGGGTTTGAGATAGGGAAGCCAGGAAGAGTCACAACAAAACTCTTATTTTGGGCCTTTATACAGTGAATTATTGTTGCTGCAAACCTTCACCAGACCAGCTGAACACTGAGGCCTGAGTCTGACATCCACTGGTGCACTGACAACTTTATTTTCTTCTTAGTTTGTGAATTCCATCAGTATCCAGAGAAAGCCAGGCTTTGCAGCCAGAGGTGATTCTTTTTAATGAAAAATATGAAAAATAGATATCTGTATTGGAGAAATCAGTGGAGAACCTTGGAAACTTGGTTTTGAATTCAAGGGAAAAAGGCAGACTGTCCGGATGAAATACGAGAATATGGAATTTATTTCCCCCATAGATTTATTTTCTTACCATTAATGAGTATAAATGTACATTTAATGTCTGGAAGAGGAATGGGATGGAGCTGCTGGAGGCACTGGAAGCAGAGCTGGCTCACAACAGTTGCATCTGTCATGCAGCAGGAATGCCTGCAGTGGAACCTGCTCTCCAGATAGAGCTGTTTCAAATCAGGCCTATCAGCATAAAATGTCAGCTCAAATTCATCAGAGGCAGGAGAAAAACAAACCATTCTGATCCAGGTGAAACTCGAGCTGCTCTCTGATGGCTCCCAGCTCTCTCTGGTGCTGCAGAATGGTAACACTGAAATTCTCCTGCTGCTGGAAGTCCTGCTGCTCCTCCCAGGTTCCCTTTCAGGGCTGGGATTGTGTTTCCTGCAGCTCCAGGTGCTTCCTGAGCAGCTCCAGGGGCTCCCCAAAGCCCCTCTGGGCTCCACCAGCACAATTTGCCATCAGCAGGGAGGGGTGGAACAGCAATTTGTGCAGAGGGTTGGACCAGGAATTCTCCATGGTGTCCCCGGGCTCAGGATGGCCACTCCTGATCCCTCAGTGGCTGTTTGGTACAGGTTGGTGCACAAATGAGTTTAGGTTTTGTGGAAATCTGATAATTTGCTTTGTAATAAGGTTCCATTCATTTAAATCAACTCCATAGCACAGTGACAGTGCTATGGAGTTGATTTGGGAACTCTTGGGTCTGTGTAGTCACCACTGAGATTATTTAATTTGTTGTTGAACTGCTGATTAAATTTTACATCAAGGCAGAAGCACCTTGTTTTTAAATACAAGCCCTTTTTTAAAAAAGTGGCTCACAGACTTGCCTGTTCCTTCTCTTGGCTAATTCAGAGCCACACTGCAGACATTACAAAGAAATACAAAACTACAGAAAAATCACATCTGTGTACTGGGAAAAGGTATTTTGGGGCACTTGCTTCTTGTTTGCAGGAGATAACAAGCAGGGTTTGGGATAAGTCAGCCTTGATTTGGGGTTTACCAGAGCAGCAGCCATGGTGAGAGGCAGAGATCCTTGCTGCTGTTAG